TATTCAGGCATCATTTATTACAAATAAAAATAAAGTAAAACACAAATGAGCTTATAAATATTACTATTTATTATTAGTTAAAACTATAACAATTTGTTTCCCAGTATTGGGTTGCAGCTGATAGGCCATCAGCAGTGTAAAACATATGCTGGATAAGTTGGTGGTTCATTCCACTGTGGCGACACCTGACAAATAAAGAGACTAAGCCAAAGGAAAATGAATGAATGAAAATAAAATATTAATATTTTGAATAATACAGTAAAACACAAATAAGCTCAGAAACAGTTAACCTGCAGTATAATACATACATATGATATTGTATTTATTTTATATTATAATAAATATATCAAATGATATTTTATTATTAATACATAAAAGACAAAAAGATATATAAAGGACCTTTATTAAATGTTATTGGACAGAAGGTGAGGTTAAAAAATAATAAAAAATGTATGTCATTTACTTAATATTATAATAAATAATTATTATAAAATTCAATAAATATAATCATTTAATATTATTATGAACAATATGTAATAAATATTATAATAAACAATTTTGAGATGTATTACAATTGCCTAAAACACAAAGAAATGTTTAATAAAGGCAATTGGATGAGGCATCATTTATTAAAAATACAAATAAAGTAAAACACAAATGAGCTTATAAATATTACTATTCATTATTAATCCTAATATAGATCATATCGATTTAAACACATTTTATACATATAAATACATCAATTATGTTAGTGACATACTTTTTAAAATAAGTCATTGAGCAGGAGGTGGGCTTAGTGTTGAAGTGTATTAATAATAAAGAATGTAAATAGAAAATGGAACAATAAATATACCCAACACAATAAAGAAGTATATCATACATAAATGCTCATAAATGATACTTATTAGGTAAAATATATAAATTATAAAAAAATTAATAATTTTTACAATTATAATTATGTTAAGGTTGTAAGTTATTATTATACAATAATATAATATACAATAAAATATATAGAAAATAATATTTGTATACCATGTGCAAGTTTAAATTTGTGTATGTTTACATGCCTAAAAATCGAAACAATATAATACAAAAATGATAAATAAATACATAATAATTCTCATGTCAACTGTATATAAATAAGTAAGTTAATTTTATCATTTAATTATTCTAAAGAAACACAAATACATAAATAATAGTTGTTGTTATTATCATTATTTATATGTAATTTTAATTGTAATATATAAATATTGTATGTGTTATTATTGCATAAACTAATTTAAAAGTTCTTTAATGAAAATGTATCGGGCGGGAGGTGGGCCTGATCTTTAGTGAAGTTTTATTTACACACTAACTGAAAAATTTACAATAAAATAAAGATAAATATACGATAATAAAATAAGAAACTGTTATGATAAACGCACTAGTAAATATGCTTTCTAAATGAATAAATCATTTAATTTAACATTTTAATCAAAACGATTGAGGCATCACTTTTCATTCATCACTTCACCCCGCTAGTTTTTTGTTGTTGCAGGTTATTTCTTCTATTATTTTAAATGTAATATTATATTTGTGTACTGTATTATGTGTGTGAATATGAACTCATGAATGTAAAAGTTGTTTTGTGAAAGTGTTTGTTTTAAAATATAATAAAAAGGTCAATAAAATTCTGCTGTTTTTGTTTTCTTTGTTGTCCAATAATGAAAGCACATATATACTGATGGAGAGTTTGACATTCATGACTAAATTGTCTGTCCTCTGCCTCTCACACTACATTTACACACATTGGGCCCAATCATACACCCGGCGCAAGACGTGACGGAATTGTTGTTTGCTAGTTTCAGCTTGGCACAAGAGTCGTTTTGACATGTTGCGCCACGCTGCTTCAATAGCAAATGCATTTGCGCTCATTTGTGCGCCCATAGGCATTCTGGTCTAAAAAAGGAGGCGTGTTGAGGCGCATTGCTGGCACGCTGCTATTTTGAGGAACTTAAATAGACGGTTCAATAAACCAGATTAAAGCTGGTCTATTGTCCAGCGGAGCGCGTTAGTCGTGATCCTCGCTTACACGTAGCTTAATACACATGTGCATAAACTACAATAGAAAGAAATTTAACAAATAAATTCCAGCATGCGGATCAAATGCATGGCCATATTCTCTTTGCAAAAAGTCAGTCACAGTATCTTTGTTTCAAGGCATGTGATTGGATACTGACGTCTCATCAGTGTCATAAATATTCAATTTCTACCACTGTAGTTGAGGTTGAGAAAAATAATAATGTTTCTGTTTTAAAATTCATGAAAATTAAAATGAGGATCTTTTTTTGACTCATTTATGACTAGTTACGCTGTCATGACAGATACACGGACCAGTTTTGATGTAGTAGTTAATGTTAAGTTTCTATAAAGACAAGTCTAACAATGTCATAGTTATCATTTTAAATGCAAATGAGCTTCTGACAGTTGTCATAAGCATGAATAATCAGGGCTGGCAAAGTCTGGTAGCCCAAAGTTACGGCGCTATTGTTTTTTGCAGTCAGGCTACCAAAATCTATCTACACCATGGCCGGCGGGCTATCTAGATATCACGATTTTGGTAACCCGACTGAAAAAACAATAGCCCTGAAAAAACAATATATATATATATATACCTGTCCAACTGCTCGTTAAGGCAACTTTCTAATCAGCCAATTACATGGCAGCAACTAAATGCATTTAGGCATGTAGGCATGGTCAAGCTGATCTGTTGCAGTTCAAACCAAGCATCAGAATGGGAAAGAAAGGTAACGTAAATGACTTTGAACGTGGCATGGTTGTTGGTGCCAGACGAGCTGGTCTAAGTATTACAGAAACTGCTGCTCTACTGGGATTTTCACACACAACCATCTCTGGGCAGAGTTCAACGCTAAGGATTTTTTGTACTGGCCCGATCGGACCAGTGGTTCAGACTTTTACTTGCCCTGCCAATATTGTCACTGAACCCACCAAAAAAAGTTAATAGCTATTTCTTGGCCACATATAAAAAAAATGTCAAAATGTTTGTAAATCTAGAATTTAAATATTTAAAAAATGTTGTTAAAGTGTTTTGCAAACAAAAGTAGCTTGTAACATCACTTGATGTTGCCGCCATGTTGCTGTCTCTTAGCTGTACTGGTTGTTACGGAAAAAAATAACATGCTTACAACATCCAATCAGATAAGAGGAACCAAGAAGGTAGCATTTGAAGGCTTAAAAACACAAACGGTTTCTCTATTCTGACTGTATTTGCACGCAATTGACAAAAAGTCACAGGCAAATTAAACTTTAGTGACAGGGCATTAGTGGCCCGATGGGGCCAGTAACGATCCTGTCTACTGTCCCGAGCATCTCACACGCTGGCCCCGGGCCATCGGGCAGTCCTTATTGTTGAGCCCTGCTAGGGTTTATACAGAGAATGGTCTGAAAAAGAGAAAATATCCAGTGAGTGGCAGTTCTGTAGGCGCAAATGACAGAGGAGAATGACCAGACTGCTGGTTCAAGCTGATAGAAAGGCAACAGTAACTCAAACAACCACTCGTTACAACTGAGGTCTGCAGAAGAGCATCTCTGAACGCACAACACGTCCAACCTTGAGGCGGATGGGCTACAGCAGCAGAAGAGCACACTCGGTGCCACTCCTGTCAGCTAAGAACAGGAAACTGAGGCTACAATATGCACAGCCTCACCAAAATTGGACAATAGAAGATTGTAAAAACGTTTCCTGGTCTGATGAGTCTTGATTTCTGCTGGGACAAAACAGTAGGGTCAGAATTTGGCATCAACAACATGAAAGCAGTGATCCATCCTGTCTTGTATTAACAGTTGAGGCTGCCGCTGCTGTACAATGAGTTCACTGTACTCAAATGGCCTCCACAGTCACCACATCTCAATCCAGTAGAGCTCCATTGGTATGTGGTGGAACGGGAGATTCACATCATGTATGTGCAGCCAACAAATCTGCAGCAACTGCGTGATGTTATTATGCCAATATGGAAAATCTCAGAGGAATATTTCCAGTACCTTGATAAATTTATGCCATGAAGGATTAAGGCAGTTTTGAAGGCAAAAAGGGGGTCCAACCCAGTACTAGTAAGGTGTAACTAATAAAGTGATCGGTGAGTGTATTTCAGGGCCTACTCACACTATGCCATCCGTACCGTGCACAGGCCCGTTTCCCGGATCGTTTGAGAAGTGTGAGTGCGCTGAATCGGGCTCAAGCACGGTTCACTTGGCCGGCCCTGGCCCGGTTGGAAGACAAGAAGACAGAAGGTGTGCCTGAGCGCGGTTCACTTGGGCTTTGGCACGGTACGCTTGCGAGTGCAAAACGCGCCAAAGCCCGAAACTGAAAGCGAGACGTGACTTTTAAGGGACTGTTTCATATGACTTTATTAATCATTCTTACTGTTCAGTGAACGCAAACTGCCGTAGTTTATTAAAGACGAGAACTCCTCACAGCACGACAGCTGCGCGCCTTCAGCAGACCTCCTCATTCCTGCAGCACTAGAGCTTTATGATTGTTTATGAGCGCCAAAAGTGGCGGATCTGTTCGGCGAAATATCTGACTGCGTGTCACCGCATCCCTAAGGACTGTTAGGCGAAATATTTGACTGCATGTCACTGCATAACAAACGACTGAAACGATATAACTAGAGAAATCTCCACTGTGCTGCTGAGTGAGAGAGCGCTTCTCACTGAACAGCGCAGCAGCGATGACGTAAGCGTGCCGAGGCCCATTTGTGGTGTGAGTGCGGGCCGTCGGGGGAGACGGGAGGGGGGACAAGCGCGATTTGGCCCGGTTCGAGGCAACTGTACCTAGTGTGAGTACGGCCTCAGTTACAGAAAGCATGAAACAGTCTATGTGGCAACAATATAGGCATTCTGAAATAAAAATGGTGAATATTAACATGAACAATTCTAAAGCTGTGTACAAGACAAGCAGCACTTTAATATTAGTATAAAGAAGCACAGAATAACTGGTATTACCCATTACCACATTTTATTTCAGAATTATACTGACACATATTTAAAGAAACAAATAAAATGACTTTTACAAGTCAGAATGATTGGTCACCAATTCCCAATAATAGCTTCTTTCAGAAGTGCCTGAACATTATGAACACACTAGGTCACTTAATAACATATAATACAACGTAATAAAATTAATACAGGCCCGTTTGAAAAAGCATCTGTAGTGTGTTTATACAAAAATCCATTGGAATGCATTTCCTAAAATTTGGCTTAGGTTTAAAACAAAACCGACGGGAGAGCAATGACCCAGAAGCATTGGTACCCAGCAAGAGGAAGTGTGTGCACCATTTCAAAATGGATCTGCTGGCACTTAGTGTTAATTTGGTCAATTTGCTTTCAATTTAACGGAGCCAAAAAATGAAAATAGTTTAAAAAAAGTTTAAAAAGCCAGTTTAAAACTTGGCTGTTGTAGTCTGATTTTATAGAATAATCAGGAAAACACACAACCTTGAACTGAACAAGCAACAAGGTTGTTTTATGGCCCTTGTAGTGTAAACAAACATTCAGAATTTAAAGTCATTCCTCATTGATTATAAAAGAAAAAGAATAAAAAGTGAGAATAAAAGGATTGTCCAGAGAAATACAGACTCTGCGTCTGATATGCATAGGCATGGTTAATCTACAAGTGCTACACACTTTCTCACTGAATTAAAAACAAAACTTTGGTTGCTTTACGGAAACGTAGACTGTACACATCTAGCTTCATGGTAACTGGAGTTTTCTGCTCTGCCTTGGTCTCTTTTCTGTGCTGTTTTCCGTCAGACACAACATTAAAAGGTGCTTTTTCTTTTTCATGGGCAGCAGGAGAAATATTGCACAGTGTTTTCAGATCTAGAGGTACAGCATTCTGGAGTGGTTTGGATCTGAGATCGTGTTGGTATTTGTAGTGTTTTTCTAAAAAGATGTCACATTATTTGATGCATCTGTATGTGTAATGTGTGTATGTACATACACACACATAAATATATACCGTATACGGCGTGTACGTATTTCCGTTTCTTTTGGTCCTCCTCTTCACTGAATTCTCTTCATCTTCCTCCAACTGGAGGAGCTGGAGGAGCACCTCGCACTAAAAGCAAGAAAATATGGCATGAAGTGATGTATTCATGTTGATCTTGTAAAAAACTGTTGGTAATGTTTAAAGGACCACAAAACCCCCGTCTCAGCAGGGTGTTTTCACTCTTCTAGTTAGAAAAAAGTCAGCAAAGTGGGTGAGTCCAACTCTGTTTAGTTGGGAGTGTCAAGGGAGGGAAAGAGGGAAGATTTTGCATAAAAATGGGAGTTTCAGTTCGACCATGCAATAATTTTCACAAAGGCAAAACAACACACAGACGCAGGGGAGAAAGACAGTGACTATGTTAACATGGACATCACCAATCCAACTAATCGCCAAATAAATAATTTGTTGACTTCACTTTAATTTAGGAACATTTCATGCATGCCCCCCCCAAACTAACGAGATATTGGATGTGAGGAACTGCTGGATAAGTGTACTTTTAATGAAATGTTTGATACCGCATGCCGTATGGGAGAAAAAAAAGCTCCACATTTCTCACTAACTTAGATGCACTCGGTAAGTAGCGTCAGAAAGCCATGTGTTTATAGACTATCCCGTCACAAAATACCGCAAAATTTTTCCACACAATGGTAATAGTGTGATTAAGGTGTTTACATACGGAGAGCAGCATTTACAGCTGTTCTATCAGTCCTTAATATTGTAGTAATATTAACGCACTGTAAACTTGGTAACAAAATAATTTGGACTAAGGTATGTCTTTAAAAATTGAAAGAGTACTGCTGACAAGACTAACTAACTTTGCCATTTGAATAAACAAACAAAAAGTACTGATCACACACATTTCTCATATCTGTAGAGACAGGACAATCAACACCAGCTGGAACCGCATCTTTTTATAAAATAAGACGAGTGGCAAATACGGATTTCACCATTTCCAGATGGGAAAAGCTCTTGAGTAAAAAAATGTTTCTTACAAACGTATTAGTGTCGCGTGTTAGCAGACCATTGTAATCCACATGTGAGTCCAGCTACGCTCTCATAGCGAGGAATTGAAAACAAAACCTTTGTAGTGGCATATTTATAAACTCAACACTGACGACCCGTGTCTTTGAACATTTCTTCTTCTTCCACTTGTTTTAATTAAAGTTGGCAACACAATGTGGCCTCTCTCTGCCGTCTAAACACTTTAACAGGTAAAAACAAACTTATCATGCATATAAATGAAGTTGCACCACATACACAATATAACACGCTGATTAGTAAGAACCAAGTCTTTCTCATGAATTAATGCTGAAAACTCAAAGACGTTATTTTATACTCGCGGGTACAGACATCTAGTCTACATGCTGGAATACACAAAAAGATCTAATCGCCGCTTCAACATTTATTTTCAAACCGGAAGAACGGACTTGCTCGAAATAACGCAAAAACAACCAATTTTCAATTTTTTTGTTAAATATATGTGTCCTAATAGTGTTTTTAGCAGCGTGGGACACATATATGACTGTCAACATCTCAAAAAATGTGTTTTGGTGTTTCGTGACCCTTTATGTTTGATTTTGATTGTCACCTCTGTTGTTGTGGTTGTGGCTGGGATAGCTCTTCGGGAAGTTTCTGTATTCTTCAGGTGGAGGAAAATCCTCTATTGGGTGGAAATCATACTTGGACTCAAAATCATCTGGAAAAAATCAGAATCAGAAAGAGTACTGAGTGGCAAGTGAGTTTACATTTATCTTAGTGACAGAAGCATCCAGTGCAGAACAAGTATTAAAAAAACAAGATAATAAAACAAGTCTTAGTATATGTCAAATAATTAAGCAGCATAACACCAATAGTAATGAAAAAAAATCATACATACAGCACAGTTGAGGTCGAAAGTTATAAATTTACTCTGAATTTTTTATTTATTTATTATTATTTATTTTGATTAATTAATTATTTTGCCAAAATAAGATGGATCACACAAAATGTCAGTTTATGTAAGTACAGACCTATTTCACATAAACAGATATTTCAGATAAAATATTTGGATTAAAAATTCCCCTTTATGAATTTTGTATACTTGATTGTAATGAGGCGACGCAGTGGCGCAGTAGGAAGTGCTGTCGCCACACAGGAAGAAGGTCGCTGGTTCGAGCCTCGGCTAGGTCATTTGGCGTTTCTGTGTGGAGTTTGCATGTACGTGGGTTTCCTCTGGGTGCTCCTGTTTCCCCCACAGTCTAAAGACATGAAGTAAAGTTGAATTATGAGTGTGTGTGTGTGTGTGTGTGTGTGCGTGTGTGTGTGTGTGTGTGTGTGTGTGTGTGTGTGTGTGTGTGTGTGTGTTTGTGTGCGCGTGTGTGTGCGTGTGTGTTTCCCAGAGATGGGTTGCCATCCCATCTGCTGAGTAAAAACGCGCTGGATAAGTTGGCGGTTCATTACGCTGTGGCGACCCCGAATTAATAAGGGGGACTAAGCCCAAAAGAAAATGAATGAATGAATGATTATAATGATTCTCAACCCTGCTAAAACTGACAAATGAACAAATAGTCAGAATATTCACATTTTTTGGAATTGAAATGTTTATTAATCCTTCTATCAAGATCCATTTTATACCATATATATGTTTTTTAAATTGATTATGTTGACACATATTAACACATCAGGGGATTTAAAGAAATACTACAAACTTTAAACTACTATTCATGAAAATACTTAAATTACAGAGAAATCCAAAAGGCCATTGCAAGCGAGCTGCGTTCCAGACCAGCTCAGCTCAATTACGTATAATGTCTCCGACACCGCCTGTAGTCCCGTTTAGTAACATGATAGCAACCTTCTTTTTAAGAGAAGCGTAACAGATTTTAAAAAATCAAGAGTGTGATGTAAGTGATGTGTTCTGTCATAGAATAAAACGTAAAAGTATATTGAGTTTACGTTAGCCACGAACCTTATTTAAGCGATTTAACTGAAATCCTATTGAAAAAACCCATTGACTTCAGGACGAAGGAACTGGAACAGCTAAAATGCTAATTCACTTCCGGATTTTTGCATACAAATTGATGTCATAGTTCCTCCACTCTATTGTCTTCTTGCTTACCATCATAAACTAAAATAAGGACGCATGACAGCTGAGCGGGACTTTGAAGAATAAACTGTTAAGCCATTAATTTAAAGTTTCTGTTTAGAAACTTTGCTGTGTGAAAGCAAACTGCACGAAGAACAAAAATAAACATTGTAACAATTTTAATCCCTGTTTCGGAACAAAAGAGTCAATCCACATGTGTGAAAGCACCCTTAATTACTGTATCTGGAGTAAAAAGATGACCTCATTTTTCATTATCAGCCAACACATCTCTGTGTTCTGAGAAGGCTTGGTTGATGACTGTAATAAGGAAATATTGTGTAAATTTGAATTACTGAGAGTTCATTTGACTACAGAGTTATTTTCATGAGCTGATGCACACAGCAATGCAATTCAGCAAACAGCTAGAATCAAAGTTCAGATCTACAAACACTTCCCACAAACAAACAAATCAGCAACTAAGAGAACACAATGATCCAAAAACGATGAGATCACTTGTTCTATGAAGCAAATGAAACTCACCAGCAAAGGATCTTGAGGCGGAAGACGTGTGTCCATTGCGGAGAGGTGGAGGTGGAGGAGGCGCATGTCCAGAAGACTGACGTCCAGAAGAGGACAGAGGAGGAGCCTTCGAACGACTCGGGGGCTCAGAGGAGGTCTGTGGGCCACCGCGGTAAGGAGGCGGAGGAGGTGGTGTTTCCCGAATACCATTACGAGATATAGGAGGAGGAACCTGAGGAGCTGAAAAAAACATGTCATTTTAAATGAGGGCCATTTTACATTTATTAAAGCCTTCATTTAAAAGAATAATCACATACATTAAATCGTGTAATCATAAACTCTAGAAAGATACTACCAAGAGAATTAAACTAACAGATCTTTTAGTAAAACTAAATTTAGGGCTGTGCAATGAAATTTAAATTTCGATTGTCGGCTTTAACGATTATAAAAAACATTCATCAAGATAAAACGGTCAATGTGTGATTTTCCCGCCCCTGTTTAAGTAATCTTGCACTAATATATTCCATTCGTTCCTCTGAAAAAGCTCAGTTTCACATGAAAACTATTGAAAGCATGTATTGTGTATAGGCATGGGACAATATCTGTTTTCAAGGTATACCGTGGTTTGGAAAAGTAAAGGTTTTGAAACCGCCAAAATGTCTGTAATACCGTTACCAAGCATGTTTAATAAAAACTTTATAAAATCCTGAGTTTTCCCACCAATAATCATCTGCATTTAACTCATAAATACAATCTTTCCGACATGATTTGAATGCACCAAAACAAAAGGAAAGCATAACCACCCACTCCTATACAATACTGTAAGGAATGGAATGGAAAGTTTAGTTCCAGACTTGCTCCAATACATACACTTGTAGTTTTCTAGTTAGCCTGTCCGACTTGATTAGCTGGATCAGGCGTCTTTAATGTACTGTAAAAGTTGAACTCTGTAGGTTTCTGTCCTTATAGTAACTACAATTAACAAACTATTTTGTTTCTATATACATAATAATTAAATATATTTTTGCTTATGTTAAGTTTATACAGCTGTGATACATCTTGCAGCTTATAGGGTTCATGGATTACAATGTTTAATAAAGACTTTTTAAAAATACCATTAGAAAAATTTGTTTCAGGACCAGTACTTCTGAAAATGTGAGGTGGATCTAAGACCTTTCACAGTAAACATGTTTAAATTAATGTATGAATCAAAGATTCCAAAGTTGAATAATTTATAAGCGGTAAGCATGATAGATAATTTGTTTCTGGTGTATCAAACTTTAACCCCTTCCAATGCACAATATTCTCTAAATTAGGATAAAGTCATAAGGAAAAAATATAAATACACACAAAAGGAAAAAAAGGAGAAGATTAGATTAAGGATGAGCATTGTAGTAGGCAGGCTGGCAATGTTGTTGTTACTGAGTACGTTTACATGGACACCAATAATTTTAATGCGATTGCGACAATACTCTGATTAAGAGTCTGCCATGTAAACAGCGATTTTTTATTAATTTAATCAGTTTAAGGTCATAATCAAACTAAAGAGAAATCGAATTATGATGTGAAGTATGCCGATTTTAGTCGTATTATTGAAGTGCAGTACAGACATGTAAACACAAATCGGACTATTAGCGTCATGCATGGAATTTTCACCGCGTTTTGCGACAGGATATCCATTATTTAAATGCTAATGAGCTGCTGCTCAACCCTGCCTCTCTCTATGGCTGGATCACGAATACCTGTAGTAGCCTAACTATCCATTCATAAGGTGAAGCTTAACCAGCGCAGCACACACAGTGCTCAACCAAAGCTTGAGCTTCTGCTGACTTTTGTTTGTATGATTGGTATGAAGCATTTGGTGCTGTTTCCACTTTATAATGACAACACAAAAGATCTTGCTGGGCGGTCGTCCAGACCGTATAATTGTACATTAAACTTACGAAAGCGATCCAAAAAATTGTATAGTCAAAATTTTGTTATTGATATATATTAAATTATGTTTTTTTTTTAAAGAGAAAAAAAATTCAAGAAGCAAAAAAATTACAAATTTGGTTGAAATTTTGTAGGTTGCCGTTTTTTTAAATATGTTGCTTGAATTAAATTTTATTATCTTACAATTTCTAAATATGTTTGGTGACTAAAATATTATTTTAATAACTATATGTTTAAAAAATTTTTTTTTTGTTTAAATACACCAAAATACATTGCCTATATTCACGGAGAAATGGATCCAAATATTTACTTAAATATTCTGAGCACTGTAAGTTGGTGCTTGATAACTGTAACCAAATAAAAATAAACCTTTAAATGCAAATTTGATGCAAGTCTAACTTCGTATTGCCTGTCATTGTAAAACAAGAGGCAATAAAATGTTTTTCACAAAGAAGCAGGTTTTTGCCCACTTCTTCTGAGACATTCCCTTCATATATATGTATAGAACTAATTAATTTTGTTGTTGCCTTTTCTGAATCTGTTATTCTGTGTAAAGACACCTGCGAGCCTCTAAAGTTACACCAGAACACACAGCAGACTTCATGCCAGGATTACTTTGTATTAACACCTTATCATTAGCTGCTTTGGTATACGTTTACAAATAGGGGTAGGAAGCGGGCTTGTAGTTTGCTTGGAGGCAGGCACATATAAAGAACTAGCAAATTATGTCTAAACTAGCAGGGCATTCAAAAGGGTCAATCATATCACATAAATACACTCAGACTGTTTTAAAAACAATAGATGTATGTTTCCTGTTTAACTTTTCTGAGCTGGTAGACACGACAGAAATCGAACTAAACACAAAAACAATGTACAAAAGTGGAAAATTTAATCCGAAGTCACCTTTGAAAGGTTTAGTTCACTCACCCACCCTTGACTTGTTCCAAACCATCTGCTAAACATTAAAGAATATATTGTGAAGAATTTTGGAAACCTGTAAACCTTTAAATCCATAGCAGGAAAAACAAATACTACAAAAGTCAATGCAGTGTTTCCCCAACCATTATATAAGGGGGGGCGCCCTCCCAATGGCTAAACCCACCCCCCTTAAAGTCACGTAAATTTTATTATCTATATAGCACCAGATCTCAACTTTTTATAAATAAACAAGCTAAATAGCTGCATGTAATATCTTATTTACACAACAGCATGTCATTTCTGTTCTGCGCTTGCATCACAGCAGCTGAAATATATACAGATGCAGACATCCCATGTCTCCCGCAAATGCATAGAGACTCCCAGATGCCCACAAACAAATGATAATCTCCCAGAAATTGCACGTCTCCAGCACGATCCTCAAATACGTCCCTGCATCCCGCCCCACTCTTCAGATACTATGCACAAATCCAATGCTGTGATGCGAGCGAGCCATCTCCTCTATCTAATGTCTAGTTATGACCTCTCTCGGTCTTATAAGCTCTGCGTGTCTTCCGCAAATTCATACAGAGTCCATGATCCCCCAAAATTAATTCAAATACTTGAAAATCATGGCGACGAGAGTGAATGAGCAAGAGAACAGATTGCTAGAAGAGCAATGATGGTCTAAACATTACATTTGTTAGGTTAAATTAATAGAGCAGTAAAGATTTTATTTTCATTGAGGGATCTGCTGTCAATAGTTGGAGACGAGCAAAATATTGGAATGGTTTTGCATGTATTTAGGCCTTTTTACATAGAACAACTGAAAGTTCAGCGTTTTGACAATATTGCAAGTCCACTTAAAGCTGGCTGGAATTATTAGCTAACTTTTTAAACATTATTAAACAAATATTTAATAATACAACTTCTTGTAATACTCTCATTGCTTTAAGTAGTTTATAGGCCTATTTCCTTTTAGTAAACAAGTATTAGATTAATAGATGTGCATTTTAACAAATTTTCATCTTTATTCATTTGCAATGTTTCCAAATTACATTGTTTGTAGTTTTTCTGTGGCGGTTCTTTCCGTGTGTAGACCCCTGATAACTAAGGCACTAAACTGAAGTAAAATGAATGGATGAATTATTTTCTGTAAAGCTGCTTCTGGCCATGAAATGTTCACATCTCAATTTTTAGAAGAGACATGTTTAATAAATGTCTCAATAAATGGGCCAGACATTTCTGACTTTCCATCGCAAGAGGCTCAGGAAATGTTCTTCCAGAAGCACATGAAGATACATTGCAGTGACAAAAGCTGCACAGTTTGTGAATAAATAAGACAATAAATGTAAATAATTGCTAATTTATAATTTACAAACGGATGTACAGTTCAAATAGTTTTTCAGTTATTTACTGCTGTCATTTAAAAAACATGACTCCTTGCGTCAGTGTGAGTCTGAACATCCAGGCTGCATTGTGTCCCCCCCAAAACTGTAAACCTGGGGAAAACACTGCAATGGTTACAGGTTTCCAACAGAACAAAAACTCAAATTGGTTTGGAACAAGTCAAGGGTGAGTAAATGTTGGAAGAATCTGAGTGAACTATCCTTTCATGCTGAGGCATAAATTAGATGTAGATTTATTTTTGGTGATTCGCCTCACTTTATTGCTTTGTGTTTAGTGCAAAATGGCCTTTAGACCATTCTTGATTTTTTTTTATCTTAAGATGTTTTACCTGTGCTGCGTCCCACTGGATCACGTGCTGGTGGAGGGGGGCGTCTGTTCTGCTGGGAAGGTGGTGGAGGAGGTGGAGCTTGGCTACGGGCATTAGCATTACCATGGCCTCTTCTGTTAAGCGAGTTTCGCCTCTGTGGCAACTCCGGGGCTGGGTCACCATTTGCAGCAGGTGGCTGACGATAAGGTGGAGGTGGTGGAGGTGCATTTCCAGAGGAAATTGAAGATGATGAAGAGGAGCGAGATGAAAGGGGAGGATGTCTAGGAGTCCCCTCACGAGCAGGTGAAGGTGGAGGAGGAGGCCCTTTGCTTACAGGTGGTGGTGGTGGTGGAAAGGGTTTGTCACGGCTCTGCCCAGAGCCCTGTTGAGCTGAAGAGGGTCCGCGATTGCCAGCGCGATTGAAGGGTGGAGGTGGAGGAGGAGCGGAGTTGGTGGGTTTTGAAGAACTGCTTGGAACCGATGGTTTGGAGACGTCTGGAAGTGAGGGACGATGATTTCGCTGCTGTTCGGGAGGTGAGGTGCGACTTCCATCACCACGACTGGAGCCGTCCACTTCAGAATTACTCAGACCTCGAGGTACTGCAGGGCGAGAGCCAGGTGGACGCAAAGCTGATCGTCCTACAGAGCTGTCTGTGTGGACATTTATAAATGAGAAGTTAATGAAAAGAATATTATTGAATTATAAATAAACAATAAAAATATAAATAAACAAAAGAGAATAAGAAAATGTTGAATGGAAACACCAAGATGTAAACAGACTCTAAGGTTTGCAAAAATATCATAAATTGAATGCATTTTTTATTCAATTAAAAGACATACATAAACTACGATTAAAACACATTTACCAAAACCATTTCTTGATGTGCATCAAAGAAGAACTGTGATTTTGAAATGATTTTGTAAAATTTATAGGGATGTAACAATTTTTAGGTATGTTCACCGTGAGATGGTTGAAAATTGATACAAATACTATATGAATCACGATACATTTTTTGAACAGAGGCAGGAGATGAAACTTTGGCCCAATCCCAAATCTACCCCTTAACCCTTCCCCTTACTTTGGGAATTGGGACACCCCTACCCCTTTACGGAAACACGCAAAACCAGGGCTAGGGGTTTCCCAATTCTCTTTAGCTTGAAGGCGTAGGGCTAAGGGGAAGGGGTAGATGAGCCTTCGAATGGAGATTTTTCAGGACAACATTCGAAACCAAGGGCTAAGAAAATTTTCCAGAATACACCAGCTACAATGGCAATATAGCTGCACCCAGAAGTAAGGAGATCCACAAATTGGTATTTTTTTGTTATTATTACGCATTTTTACAACAAACAAGCACATGTTTTAATATATTCATAACCACTTTCATGTTTTACCGTCATGCTTAAAAAAAAAAACGATAAAGTAAAAAACGCTAAATTTCGCGATCTATAATCATAATCATCTAATCATAACTCCTGTAAAGCAGTCCCACAACATTCTGACACCCGATGACTAGGGCCAGATGGAATCTGTGGACGGTTTTTGCTATTTCTGCAGAGAATTTTGGTAAAAATCTGTGAATTTCTGTGGAATTATTTGGGAGTATCATAACTAAAACCTTAATATGTGAAATAAAAAATATTATCTTTTTAACTTTTATTTAATGTTTAAAATGCAAATCCAATTAGATTCACATTATTTGGTAAACAAAGCAAGTCTCTCATATAATATATCTACTAAAAGACAGAAAATATTACTGTACAAGCTGCATTGTACATAAATCAGATGAACATTTTCATATTAGTCAATAATATTACAGTAATTAATTTAAAAACTGAATAAATATAGATTTACACACATTTACTCAAGTAAATAAACAGAATTAATGATAGGCTACAAATCTGCGGAATTCTGCAGAAATCTGTGAAAAATCTGCAGAATTCTGCGCGCGCATATTCCGTGTGGGCCTACCGATGACACTGGAATACCCTGTCAGAAAAGTCTAGTGGCTGGGAATGACCTTTTTACAGTGTCTGCTATAATGGGAATGTTGTTTTTGGTGTGTTTACATAAATGAACATGGCCACTGTGTAAATGACAGATAGTTACGATCTTATTGCCACATTATATCTTTATGATAACATAATATAAGCCTTCAGTGATTTCTTGAAGATAAATACCAAAAAAGAACACAACTGGAATAACTACAGCAGTCGCGATCATCTGATCTCATGAAGCATGAGATTGCGATGACATATAAAAACCTGTGCAGGTGTTGTAGTGCTGTCCCATTTCTTAGGGGCACATTTTGAAGCCCATCCCCTTCACACTCGGTTTTAAGGGTCAGGGGGAAGGGGTAGGGGTACAAAATAGAATTGGGATTGGGCCTAAATCTAAGAGAAAAAGTTATAAATTCTCAACCCATAGAAATGATTGTTTATTATTTATATATTATGTTAGTTTGCTGGAATGTAAATATGTTATTCCCTTAAACACACGAGATATAAACTGTGTTTTAAATTTTGAGCATACATTCACAAATTTGAAAGGAAAAAGTTTTTGAAAAGGAAACTCACCACCGACGGGTCGTAATTTAGGCACTCCTCCACTGAACAACCCTCCCATGGCCTTTGGACCAGAGCTACCTCCAAAACCACCTCCTCCTCCTCCACCACCACCACCACCACTACTGCCACCGCCGCCTCCACCTCCTCCTCCGCCACTTCGACCTCCAGCCTCTGTAAAAAAAATAGTTTTGTTGATCAAATATTAATGCAATTATTTAAAAATTACTTATCAAAATGACTTGTATTTTGTAGTGGAGTCCAGTCGACTTACTTTCAATAACAGGTGCACTTCTGTCATTGACCCCGGTCGTCTTCTTCAGTTTGGCACCTTTACAGATGTCTGACAGAAGAGCACCTCTTCCTTTTGCTTCATCTCTGTTCAGTTTTGGAGCGGTCGTGTTTGCCTGAACGGAAAAACATTTGTATGTAGAAAAATGTTTTCATTATTTATTTAACAATATTCACTGACATTTACTGATGTTAATAGAATTGTAATTCACTGAATCTCTCTGCTATGTTAGTATTTGATTTTCTGAATTATAATATATATGTATATATATATATATATATATATATATATATATATATGTGTGTATGTGTGTGTTTATGTGTACACACACACACACACACACACACACACACACACACACACACACACACACACACACACACACACACACACACACACACACACACACACACACACACACACACACACACACACACACACACACAC